GTTGTTTCGTCGTTATTGTAACGTAATTTTGTATGTTACGGTAATTTTGCGGCTTTGTCGTTTGGCAATATTCATTATCAAGAACGTTGAAATATACGCGGCGTGCTTCTCAGAGTTTCGTGCCTCGAATTCATTCGGCTACTTGAAATTTCCTCCTTGCGATAAAAACTTGAAGTCATTAACAGTTTCTGCATTTTAAAGCGATTGAAAATATAAAAATCCCGACAAGTAGATTTTCGCGAGGTTTTCAATTAAATTCGAGTGATCTTAATGGTCTTCATAAATTTTCAAAAGAGATTTAGTGCATATTCAGTCCCTTTTAGGAATTATAATTTTAATTTTGATCATGAGATTACGTATTAATCTCTTACATATTCCTACAATGCGTTAAGTCACCGCGTCTCTTTAGGCGCACTTGAAAGGCTTACAGGATTAAAGAGAAGTGCCGAATTGCCGGCAAACTGAATCGGATCTTTCCACTTTCGTGCGATTAGCGATAAATAACTCTGTCAACGCGGCTCGCGGAAAGAGATCCGCCGGCGTTCATGAAAAGGTCTCCTCCGAGAGTTTCGCGAGTGCGTTATCGGACCACGCGGTGGCGGAAATAAGCGCGGCTAGAGGTGTCGGCCGCGCGTGTACGTGTATACGCCGGCGAGGGTGTGTGTTCGCACGCGCGTTATACCGCGCGTTCAACACGGGCAACGTAGGGACAAGAGAGGCGATATATAATGTTCCGCGATATTAAACGGGACGCATTCCACCGAAGCCACCCTCTGGTTCCTGCTATGAATGCTTCTACGACCCCCGTCTCCTGTCTCACCCCTCCCTCTCTCTCCCTCCCTCTCTCCATGCCTGCCTGCCTGCCGCCCACCCCCTCGTCGACTACATCCGAAAAGCGGGACGAGGAAGAGGGAGATAGATAGAGACAGAGGACAGACCTGGCCTACTCGACCAGGGCCACCCCCGAATGGTTATACGCCAAATTTACAGCTTAGCCAGTGCCACTACCACTACTACACCGTGAACACGGCATTTACTAACCTCACTCCCGTAGAGTTTCTCGCAACTGATACGCGCGTCTGTATGTGGCTCAAGGATAAAACGAGCGAGAACATTTTTCCGTGCGTCTCCGATATGACGTCCCCTTGATGATGACTTCGCCAAGAAGGCTATTCACAGTCCGGAAAAACTTGTTGATTAACTTCAAGAAATTCACGTGACTTTTACTATCTTTCGTTGAAATGTACAGATGATTGTAGAGAGTTTAAAAAATCACTTACGTTCTGCTTCTGCATTTTTTGTTCATATTTTTTATAACGCTTTAAAATATACCACAAGAGTTCTTCAAGGTTATTATTTTCAATATCTTTATGTTATTCTATTCTAAAAATATCGAGATTTTCTCGCGTTGATGATAAAGTAATCAAATAATTCTGTATTTAACGAGAATCATATGGTGTCGAGTTTCTAAGAACTTCGGGGACTCACTGCACACACAATATAGTGCAGAACTAAACTCACAAAGACGAGTTGAAAGATGGACGTGGCGATCTCGTTTTCGTGAATGTCCTTCTCTCGAAAGTTTCTTCATTCGTCGCGCTGTTGCAATCTCACACGTTGAGTGTTCTACATTACTTACCTATAATTCTCATTTCAGTAGAATCACAGTTTCATTAATTTAACAATTCAGATCAGATTCATTAATTTAACAATTGAATTAATCAGTACGATAAAATAATAACAAAATTAAAAAGCTTTATTGGATATGTAGATAACATTCCTTTAAATTTTATTTTGCTAATATTTTTTGATATTTTAAGCTAAAGAATTACATAGATGTCATTCAATTTTTTTAAGCTAAAGAATAGATTCTTGTAAAGAAGCTAAAAAAATATGCATTTGCTTAAGATCACTTCTGTATCTTGTTCACAGGTGTGATACGAATTTAAAATATTTCCCAAGTATTAGAATAAAAGCTCTATATCACAAAGAAATTAGTATTGCTTTAGACCAGTGACTATATATCATTATGCAAAATTAATCGAACGCCACCTTAGGTATTGGCTCCTAGTGGAGACCTAAGCATCTACTGAGTAATCCGGCTTATTCGACCGATGCGCGTCCCTCAGCCGTCCGTCCCTCTTTGCGGGCCGAAAATTTGTCGCGACTCGATCATTACTCAACGAGAGCCGGGAAATCTAGCACCGTAATATCTGGCACCGAGCGGCGGCGCGGATAATGGAGAAGGACGCATATACGTCCGCGATCTCGCGCGATCATAGTAGTGGCCAGGACATTCCGAGGTTTCGCCGGCGAGAGGCGAGTTCTCCCCCTCGAAGTTCCTGTGCACCCTATCACGGCCGGCCTGGTCATACCCTATCCTTCATCCGAACATTTCCATCCCCTGGGTAACCTCGATTCTCTCCCCCCCCCTCTCCCTCTTCTTCGTTGCCAGCAAGAGCGGCCGAATGCAATCATACGTCATCCGCCATGATCTATGTCTTCTGCCATTCTAGCGTTGCGCGCTCGATCTAGCACAAGATCGCGTGCACGTGCGCGTATTCACACAACATGCATACATACATATATATATATATATATATATATATATATATATATATGCACACACACACACAAACACAACGCTCGCGCGTAAGCTGTACGTGCACGTGCGCGAGTACGCGACCGCATCTCGCGTCTCTATTAAGCCACCGCTCATTTTCCGGCTGCATATGAGCATGTTCGCCGTTAGCCGCGACCACCCGCCGGATGATTGCGGCTCGCTTGCGCGCATTTTCAGGAGAAACGTATATCCCTGACAGTTAGCTTGCCTATCTTTATATGAGGCGTCGCAAACGCGCTGGTTCATCCACAGCGTCGAGCCGGAAGAAACAATGGTTACATTTTGACACTTTTTAATACTATAGAACTATAAGAATTTATAGAAGCTTTAGATGTAGATATAGAAATAACATGAAGAGAAATGTATATAGTCTTGATTATATAAATACAAAACACTCTCAATTTATTGGGAAATGCAGTAATAAAAGTCAAAGGAGGATTAACAAAATATTAAAATTATATGTTATAAAAATACATATTTTTAAATTAAACTGTTTAAATTCAGTTTTTGCTAAATATAAAATGTTACGTCAATTTGTATTTCAGAGGTTTTTATGGTGAAGACTGTATTACGAAGAGTGCGTTTTATATTTAATATAAGAACGATGAATAGATATTGAGGGGAAAGATAAAAGAAGATTTTAGATCATAAAAACTAAACGTGCGAGAAAAGTAAACATGTTGAATCTATGTATAATAATGACGCAATTTTCATAAGAATGTGATATTGTTTTTTATTTAATTTTTTAAAATTTCAATTACATTGTCTAAAAGCAATTTTTTTTAATTTATAAGAAATTGATTGTTTATCATGTATAATCTATATTTTAAAAATGGCTAAAGACAAATTTCATGACCGTAAAAGCGAAATATGCAATGTATATTTCGCGAACTACTGTATGATAAAGAAAATTTCCAATTAGAGTTCTGCATAATAAATTAATCAATATGATAATTTTTGTCTCGAGAACATCCGTTGCCGAGTTGCTCCTCGCAAAAAGACGCTCAACAGTCAGCGGCCTCAGCTCATTCGGGTGGCCCACTAGACGCAACAAATCCCCAGCTTTGCCTCCCTTGGCCTTTCCCCCAAATGCATAAAGTGGAACGCGTAACACGAATATCTGCGTATAATTAACAATTATCCGTCTCTTGATTCTCCGAGAACCGTGGAATGGCTGGTGCATGCGTGCAGGCCTCCCCTTCTCTCTCCCTCTCTTCCCCTCCCTCTCTTTCCCCCCGCGAATGATTCTCCGATGAATTTCGTCATCGCGACGAATGCCACAGGGGATGAGGGACGTAGGGCGAGAACGGGGCCGACTGCGGAGGGGGACACGCTCCGCTTTTGGCTCGGGGGTGGTTGTTGCTACGGATCGGGATTTGCACCGCCACCGGTGGGTACGAACCCAGCCGGGGAATAGGGGTCTTTTCTGGGGGCTTAACATACACACTCCACCCCCGGTAGGCGGAGTGTACCGCCTACGAGCTACCCCCACCCGCCGTCGTGGCACTGATACGCGATATCAGCGAACACTTGTTGCTCCGACGAGCGTAGAGCTCGTCGACGGAGTGCCGTCTCTCTGCCCCCCTTTTTTTTACCCCTTTCACGGCCGCGATTTTTCACGTGCTGATTTTTCCGCCACCTTCCTCCCCGCGCGCGCGGTTTATACGTGTGCCCCCTACCCTTTGTTCGGTTCTCCGCGAGTCTCTAATCCGCGAGGATAATAATTCCATCGTCAAAAACGAGTTCATCGCATGATAGCGAGCGGAATTAATTCATTATTCGGTGAATATTATTACAAACAATAAAGCGAAACGTTATTACAAACAATAACGCACGTTACATTAGGAATATGCAGTGTGCTGTAATGGTTTTGAAGCTACGAATATTTGCTGCGAATCAACAAAAATTGTGTGTGACTTATAATTAATATTATCATTAATATCGGAATTATTGTTACACTATTAAAATTATTATATTTACGTTATAAAACGCTTTTTGCTATACTAACATAACAAAATAATCCGAGCATTTTTCTTCCGTTATGTATCATTTTCTGTATTCTTTTTACTAATCTTTACTATTGTTTCGCGCATTGCTCTCATACGTTTCGACATTATTCTTGTCTCGATGCTACGAACTTGACTTTAAACGTAACTTTTACGAGAAGCTTATTTATTGTCATACTTTTACGAAAAGCTTATTTATGGTTATAGATTTATTTTGCGAGGCAGCAGCAACTTTCTGCCGCGCAAAATAATAAATCCAGCTCGTTCTCGTAAACTCAGTTTGCGAAGCTCGACTGCGAGCGCAGCTTGAAACTGGGATTTTTCCGAGAGAGGAGTTAATAAACCGGGCTCGTCCCCTCGTTTTGTTGCAGGCAGTGCGGTGGCTGCAGCCGACACCATTTCCGCGCCGTGGACCCCCGCGAGTTCCGGGCCGCCGCCCGACGCCAACGGCTCCGGCTCGGATACGAAGAACCTCGACGTTGGCGAAATTAGCGATGTAAGTCAACCGTGCCGTCGCCAATTAAGGGCGACTGCGAGCGCAGTCTCGGCGCCCTTTTTATTTCAATTAACTCGCCGACCCGAGTTTGAAGGGACGAGCTTTTCCGGCTCGCGTTTACTTACATCACGGAAGAGCACAGCTTAAACTTCCGTAGTAGAGATGACATTTATCGTCACTCTTTCGGTATCATTTTACGCGAGGACTTAAATCAGGCTAAATAAAATTCCTTGCTGTAAAACGTAGATACATAGTTACTTGATTTAATATACTTGCAAGGAACAAAAATTAATTTAGACTTTTTGCCAATTTTCGACAAATTGTTTCGCTAATATCATATATTGTGCAAAATCTATAAAAAAGAGCAAGTTTTGATCAGTTTACGTCATATAATTCAACTTAGAAATTAATACATAATATGTGTATAATTTTTAAAAATTATTCTAATAGTTTTCGTAATAAAAATAATTGTAGTTCTCTTGTCTTGCTCTTACTCTGAGGCCTTTAATCGCATGCATAAACGAGTATAATGGCACTCCACATTTCCGATATATTACTTTTAAATTTGACACACAAAGAGAAAGTTGTTTCAAAATATTTAATAAAAGATATGACCTGAAAATCATTATAGAAATTTTATAAGGCAATATAAAATGCTAAATGGATAAATGGACAATAAATTGATAAATTGATAAATTGCCAAATTAATATTTAATGATAATTTATTACGATTATATTTTATAATATTCGACGTAAGTTAATAAAATTAATACTAAATTTAGAGTTAAGATTAATAATATTACATCTTCACTAAATAACAAAGTTACACGTCGAAAGAAATAGCCTTTCAATCGAAGGAATTATACGATATTGAAATTTCAATAGATCCATATATTATAAATGTTACAATTGAAAATTAAATCACTTTCACGGTTGTTTTGAAAATGGAAAACTTATTTACATTCGAAATATAATCTACTGCAGTAAAACAACTTCGTGAAAATACTAAAGTGATGAAAATGCACGGAATTATTTAAACGTTAATTCGTTAACTTTGGCACATGCAAATTGGATTTATTTGGGTCAGACGTACGTAGCCACTTCAAAGCAGGACGTCGACCGTGCAATTTAATTCTCCGGCTTTCTTTTTGCCTTCTTTTACCATATAATTTCTCCAATGCGATGAAGACATTTTATTCGTTTTTTTTATCATTTACAAAGAGTGAAATAAATGTGCAAAAGTTTCTCTTTTGTTTCCCGGAAAACTATTCTCCATTGATTCAGTCACGAATTGCATACGAACGAAACGCGGTAGGTTAGCGATTGGTCTACTCTTCAGTTCTCGATCGACGCGGATGAGATCAAATCGAGGACTTTTTCGTACCATCTGGGGAGTCGCCCGTTTTTTTGGATCGCGTGCCCGACGATATTATATCGAACGTGGTGAACGTGACTGGGGTTTCTCGGAAGAGACAAGCCTGTTTCCTCGCACCCTTTCCGCACTTCTCGGTATCTAAAACGCCCAGGATAATCGTTCGTTTCTCGGCACGGAGAAACACGGGGAATCACACACGTTTCTTCTCTTCGTGCGGCACGGAGGTTTTCGATTCGTTGAAATTCCAGTCCCAACGAAGTAGTACTACTCGGACTACCGGGTGTATTCCGTGCATTCGCGTATTCGCGTAACGTCGTCACCCCTCGAAACTGAGAGGGATACCCCCGCCGCACAACAAATACGTGCGCACCGCGTGCGCGATGGATCTCGACGAGCGAAAGAAAAACGTACGAAGAGGCGAGAACGCGAGACATTCTCTCGATTCGGCGGGAGAAAGAGAGAGAAAGAGAGAGGAGTCAAGTCCACTCACTCGGCCACGTTCCAGGCGTGGCTTCGCGGCTGCTGGGGATCCTTTGTTTCATCAGACGGAGGCGAGGGAGGTATAGGTCTCCCGAGGTCCGGCTACGTTCGCGATCGACGCGGCAGATAAATCGCGCGAGCGCGCGCACACGGTCAGCGGCGGGAATCGGAGATAAATGAACTTTTCTCGTGTCGAACGTGCCCAGATCGTCGAAATGCATCGCGGCGAGTAGGGCACCCTCCTGCGACGAAACGTAATCGTGACGAACGTGATGAATGTTTGCGCGAGAATCATGATTGAATTGCCTCGGAATGAAGAACGTTTTCGATCGGAAATTGATAGCTGATAAGATGCTTGAATTGGAGCCGATAGCTGAACATGCATTTGCGTCAATGCAAGTTTTCCAATATTTTTATTTACGAAATTGAATCAAAGTGATCAAACTTTTATTGAACGTTAAATTTGTTTTTTTTTTATTTATATAGTATTTTGTTGTATATAACATTTCATAAAGTTTCCTTGTTTTTGAAATATAATATAACTTGATCCATTATTCTATCATCGTTTTAAATAGTTCTATCATTGATAGAATTATTTTAAAAAATTTATAAAGAATTGACTTAAATTCCTCTGTCGACGATTTTGACGTAAAAACATAAATGGTCAACTCCTCAAGAATAATTGATCATCTGCGTAAGGAAGGCTAAGATTTCAATTTTAATTGGAAAATCAGTGTCGTATCATTCTATAATCATTATTATTCTTTTATTATACGCACATCAATCCACGATGTTACACGAAAGTGTGCTACCTTTTTGCGAAAGTCTAATTAAGTATAAGGGCGCACGACTATGACTGATGTATGACAATTGCAATCCGTCCTTCCAAGCCTACGCTAGATTGGGTGATCGTATTTTCCAGGACGAGAAGGACCTGTCGGCAGCGGACGCGGAGGGTGTGTGGTCGCCGGATATCGAACAGAGCTTCCAGGAAGCTCTTACCATATATCCGCCATGCGGTCGACGCAAAATCATCCTTTCCGACGAAGGGAAGATGTACGGTGAGTGCCATTCATATTCCAAAGGGAAAATGTACGGTGAGTGCCACACATATTCCTATCGTTCCTCTATCTGTCGTACAAAAAAAAGTTCTTTTGTTACGGCTTCATGAGCTCCCGTGTATACGGGAACATCTGATAGTTACGCAGCTGACAAAAAAGGTACGTCGATAAGAACGCTGTAGGTTAAATTAAATGTGTGGTACGCTCGTATATTTGAAAAATAATTCACATATATTATTTTACATGTGTACACAAGTATTAATTATTACGATTTAGTTCCGAAAAAAATATAGTATTATTTATTAGAAAATATCTGAATAAATCATTATTTTCTTGAAGATATCTCTATAAATATAGCGTCATTTTGAAATGAGAACGCATGTATATGCGCAACATCAATTAAATGAAAAAAAATTATGTATGTTACTACGTATAATATTAATCGTTACAATTAATTATGTAAAATAACACGAGTTTCGTAGAATTTTGAGAAGATAATAGAAAAGAATAACTACATGTTTTGTTGAAGTCTTTTATTGAAGAAAGAAAATATTTAAACTTAGTTTTTCAGGAAATTAAAAGCTAATTTAAACTGCTTTCTTTTCAAAATATTAACTTCCTGCGATTCGCGCGATATTACGGTGAGATAAATTTAATAATCGACGAGGTACATCGCCTGTTACGGCATTTTACCATTCTTCGCTTTTAGCGGACAATGCTATAGTTGCATTCTCGTAAAACTCATCTCGCTCAGCGTGAATGCCACGCGTTTGTTCGTTCGAAGTCGCATTATGTCAAGGTAACACGTGTCTAATGCCAGCCGAAGGAAAGTCCGCGGAAAGAACGCTGTTTTCCATGCGATGACCACGCGTCGCCCGACACAGAGACCTCCACGTACGCGATGACGGCGACGGAGAAGCGTCCAGACGGGCGTCGTTATTGCTCCGGTGCTGAGGTCAGTCTACGTGACTGACCAGATATTGCCTGGTACGAGACCGGCGGTACCGCCGTGGCCACCGCCGTAAACCACCACCACCATTAACCGCCATGAACTCGCCACCGGAGCAATAACGTCTCGCCTTCGGAGGAGGAATATTCGCCCCTCTAGCCGTCCCCTTTCCCAACCCGGCGCAAACCCCTACTTTTGTACCCTCTTTGCGCGTCTTTTGTATTAATTTTCTCGCTTTCTCGATGAATTCGCCGCCTTTGCTCCTTTTATGGAGCACGATAATGAATTGCCATGCGGTGTGAGTTAGTATCGATGGAACACGACATCGGACGGACGTTAATTTGCAAAAATGATGATATACAATTTGTGCGAAATTGAGCTTTTTAATGTATCACATTTCAGAGAAATCGCATATGACAGATGTATTGGACAATTTATTACTTTACATAGTTTTATATATAGTTCGTGTGTAGATAACAATATTTTCTTTTTTAAGTTACATTAATTGGTAAATCTTTATGAAAAGGAGAAATGTAAGCAATACATTTACAAAATACGTCAACCAAAGATTTTATAATTAAATAGATATTTAAATTTGCACATAAGATATTCTTTAGACTTGGATGAAAATAGAGATATGCGTTATATTTTTTTTTCCGCGAGCAAATAAATTCAGGGCTGGTCGTCTTCGTATAATTGAAGGCATTAAAAGTGTTAATTTTATGGTAATTGTATGAAGGTGTATGCCCCTCATGCCGAGGCTGCTGTTATTTCCGAAAGGGTTGTAAACGAACCCTGAAATTGACTCCCGGTCCCTCCTGCATCCGGGTGACGCGAACCGGGTCGCTGCCACTTTTCTTCCATTCTTGCGTCTTGGTGGGCAAATTTTCCGGGCCGTTCGACAGGACGACGTAGGCCGTATTCGCATGAATCCCATTCGTTAAGGCACAATGTCGCTTAATTTCCGAAAGCACTTGGCGCGCAAAGCCAAGCGGGTGGCAATTCAATCGCGATGCGCGCGCTCTATGAAAATGGAGTTTAATTCAGGCTCCTCCGTGTCGACGGAGCTGGTGGATGAAAACAGCAACAACGACGACGTCGACGGCGACGATGACGACGACGACAATGATGTCGAAGCGACGTTGTATCACTGCTACCCTTATCCTCGCTTTCATCCTCACTTCGCGATTCTTGATGAAATTACGGTCGCAGAAATTTAACCATGTGATGATAGCATTTGTCGGCCTTTGAACTTTATGGAGTATCATATTTTTATAACATTTATGCTTGTAACAAAACAAATTGTTAACAGTTATGAACAATTATGGAATGTTTGATATCGTCATTTTTGATGAATTAGATCTTAATGTCAAATTATAACATTAATTAGATAATTTCAAGAAAAATATTGTAGATTTAAAGAACTTTTTATCCTTTTTTTAAAAACTTTACTACTAATGTTTTAAGAATTATTGAGTATAAATCTGTCAATAAATACTTTCGTTACTGTTTATAGTTTTTACGATATTAAATGTAATTTTTCTATACGTGTTGAGTATCGTACGTAGTTCTAGACACTGTCTGAAAGATTTTTCCCCTCTTGGGTACATCTAATTAATTCGTAATATCTCAAGGGTGAGACAGAAGGAAAGACGAGAGCGATTTCACGAGTACAAAGTTACGCGGGGGTATCTCAATTGAAAATCGTTCTCGTTCGCTATCTTGTCGTCGCTATCGGAAAGTCTCGTACGGAGAAGTCGCTCTCACCGGGACGCAGTTTACCCCTCGGTAATTTCCCCTGGCATTGAGGAATGTGAAAGTCGGCGATTCTTCGCGCAGACGATGGAAAAGAGAGAGAGAGAGAGAGAGAGGGTGAAAGATAGAGAGAAACGCGAACGACGCGATATAAGATCGATCCTTCGACGTCACGAAAGACGAAGGAGCATCGCCGTCGACACCGTGCCGTCGTCGACGAGATGCAGTCGACCGTCCACGGGATGGAAACAAAGGATAACGAGGCGCGAAAATCGCTTAACGCGATTGGCCATCGATCCGACGGGAAACTTATCTCGCCCGTCGTTGCTCACTCGCCGAGCCAATAAAGGAGAGATCCCTCGGCCTTTCCGCGGGATTAAATATCTCGGGGCAATTTACCTCCTTCGATCTTTCCCCTCCGCCCCTTTCCCTTCCCTTCTCGTCCGTTTCTTCTTCCTTTTTCTCGTACCCTTATCTAGACGCCGACGCCCAGATTTCACCGCGGAGAAACGATCGCCTCTCGTTCCCGAAGCGATACGAGAAGGAGAATCCAATCGATCTGAAATTTTTTCACGCGTAGCGCGCTGTTTCGTTATTGATAATAATACGATTGAAAGCGCTTCAGCTGCAATCTCCCAGAGAGATCTGCTCAAAGAAGCATCAAAGAAAAATTAAATTGATATGATAATTGGTGATATCTTTATTAATAAATATGTGAAAACGCCAAGAAGTTTGAAATTATGTAATAGATAAAAAAATTTGCCCATTAATCTTTTTACTACGGACACCGTATGTATGCACCGTTGAAGAAATTTTATGAAAAATATTTGTGCAATTTATTTCGAAAATATTCAATTTTTTTATTTTTAAGATACTCGTCAATGCGTCGTTTATCTTGTTTTATTTCATTTTACATCTTCAACTTTGATCTATATTTTTTACTTTATGTTACAGTGTATAATTTAGATTTAATGGAAAATGCGTTTTTTTTCTTAAATATTGTTTAATTTCCCGTAATACCTTACTTACAAGTAGACTTCTTACACAGAAAAGTTAAATTTTCCGAGTGGTTTTGGTATTACGTCACGGATTACGTCTAGTATTACGCGACCGACCTGCACACTGCGCACGATTTTTAATTGAAGCGAAACGCAGCGGAAAAGTACGGAGTAGATCATATTACGATGTGCGTGATTCAAGCAATTGAAAGTAAATTTTGAAGCATTGCTATTTTTGTTATCTTTATATTGTTAAAAAATAAGGAAAAATTTGGTGTTACTGGGAGATCTCATTCGTCTTATATTATAAACTTAAAAAAAAGTTACAAGGAGACTAATCGAGTTGCACGGAATGTTGAGAGAGTTCCTATACGCAGAAATCCAACAAATGAAGGAATATATTGGGCTAAGGTCCGAAAAAGAGAGAGTTGGGTTTGACAATTATTATTTGGACGATAAAGCGCATTCTGACTGCCCCATAGAATTTGACGAGGACCCGTTAATTGCCCTTGATGGGAATGTCGCGCTAAACATCTGAGGAATAGCCCGCGAGGCTGAATTCCACTCGTTCCGTCTCATAAACCTGTCGCACCTCGCAAAATAATCGGGCATTACTTACGAGATCGCTGTGATGCATGTACCATCGATGTCTTTTTGGAAAAATCTCTCGGGGGCTCCGCTCGCCGGCGAAGGCGGCAACTTTTTGCGAGCGCAGTCGATAGTCTACGAACAATGTCAAAGTGGACTTCCTGTGTGTCGGAGCTGCGCGGATCTCGGGAGAGGAGAGGGCGGAAGGGCTCGATATTCTTTGTGGCCGTTTCGAGGTGGAAAGGAGCTTCCTTCCCTCCCTCTCTTTCTCTCTCTCTCTCTCTCTCTCTCTTCTTTCTTCTCTCTTCTTCTGTCCGCTCCTTCGTCCAAGCGGAAAGAAACCGCATCGTTCCTTCCCACGAAGGACTAGGTCCTTCGTCCTTACGTCCACGGCATCCAATAAACCGGTAGAAATAAAAGGATCGCGCGCTGCGCACCGTCCCTGTCCGTCGGTGCATGGAACAAGGAGCGAGAACGTTTAGAGAAGCGTTTAGGTTCTTGCTTGTACACCGGGGAAAAGAAAAACTGCCGCGCTGTTGTGCCGCTGCGGTCTCCCGGAACACCTCCGAGCGGCTTCCATCGATGTAACTTCTCTCCCCGTGGGTCAATGTTCCGGAACGAACTCCGTAAATATAGTTTCTTGCAAATTTCCTCGCTCCCTCCCTCCCGCTCTTCCCTCGTTCCTCTTCTTCCTTGCCCTCCCGCTCCTG